TAATATACATTAATTTATAATATACATAATATTTATAATATATATAAAGTATTTATGATACATATTATATTTATATCTTTATATTATGTTTAATTATATTATATTCTTATATCCAAATTGCTGAGCACAGAATTGCAGAAATGCACATACAGCTTCCTTTGTATAATACAGTGTAGCCTCGTCTTTTGTTCGACTATAAAACTGATGCACACCAACTAAAAGATTTTGAAGAGATTATATGTAGAAATATCACTAACTTATTGAAAATATAAATTTGCACATATTCATACATGTACACATTTATGTTAAAATGTGTATATAAGCCAAATATATAAAATTATAAATGTGTGTGTGCGTGTGTATACTTACTTTATAAATCCAATATAATTATATATCCAACTTGCCGAGCACAAATTGCAAAATGCACCTTTTTCACAACACAGTATAGCCTTGTTTATGCGGGTAATAACCGTTATCTTATATCAAAACCGATAAGCTATACGATTTCAATATTTTTGTTTACAAAATTGCCGAATGTGTATAATAATAAGTTAACGGTTATTGCTCGCATAAACAAGATCTCAATGCTGAAGCCAGAGAGAAGCCTGAGAGCGGCCAGTATGTGTCATCACTGAACAGCACTGTACGAACATAATATTCACATGGCATGCTTTTCACGGCGTGCTGACACGTGATGTTTGCTGGGTATCGTTTTTGTTTTTTTGAGTAACAGTAGAAGATGTAGATATTGACGCCGTTGGTATATTTTCTCGGCTTGACTCCCTGATATTTCCTTGTTTCATCTATTAAACAAAGATTTTATAAATATACGTATCGCTAATGCATAAAGTGTGATTTATATAAACTGTATCCGTAAACTTAACAAATTGAACTTGTAAGAATTCAAAAGAGAAAATGGTCAATTTTGTCAGATTTATCGAAATTAATCAATCGTTTTTTTATCCTTACGATTAAACTTGTTAAGTTTGCAAATGCGGCTTGTATAAATCTCGCTTAACATAAGATCAATTTTTTTATAAACATACCGGAACAATTTTTACATTTTTTGGCAGTTTATAGTTTGACATTCCATGATTTTGAGGCATTAAAAAATTTTGTGGTAACCCATAATTTAATGGCAAGGCCTGAGAACCTATTGCTTGCATCGCTTGCACAAAAGATTGCATCTGTTCTTTTTGAAATGCATGCTCCTTCTCTATTATTTCTTTCTCCCATAATCTTTGGTTTTCCATTTCAACTTTTAACATCTCTTTTTGCATGTCATTTTGTTTTATAATAATATCTGTTAAAAGTTGTTTTTGTGATTGTACCATTTTCTCTGTATAGTTATCTAGAATAGTTTCGTAGCTTTTTCTACCTGTAATGTTGTTATAACTATATCAATACTTATTTATCTGCTATATCAATATCATGCTAGACTGACATAGAATGTTTATTATATAATATAAATTTATTAACGCATACTTACATCTCTAGAATATCCCTTTTTAGAATATTTAATATTCAAAGAATACGCTCAGAATATTATTTGATATTAAATAATATTATGCGCTTATAGAAATACATATATTTTACATATATTTAAAGGAATTATACATATATTTAAAGTAAAATATATGTATAATTCCTATAAGCGCAATTTTAATGTAAAACCAACTTTAATGTAAAGTTGATTTTACATTAAAATTTTTAATGTAAAGTTGGTTTTACATTAAAATTGCGGCCAAATAAATAATAAAGAAGTATAACCTATTATTTAATTATCTAATATGTACCTGAAAGTTTGTTCAGTCCACGTTTCTTCTTTTTAGGAGGCTCATTACTNATAGAACTAGATTCGCTTTCTTCTTCACTATCATTTATAGTTGAACAATCGTCTGTATATTCATTTGTAGTTGAACAATTTTCTGTATATTCACACGCTGAAATCATATTCAATTCATTACTTTTTTTAATTTTAATATTGATTATGCACATCCTCTAGACAAATAAGAACTCCATTAAACATCCTCCATTAAATATCAAATTTACTTATGATACTTACATGATTCATTTTGAATATTTGCAGTATCGATTCCTGATGTATCATGAAGAACTTGTACGTTTGNCCGAGTACTGTACAAAATATCTAATTGTTCATAAAAGGGACAAGTTGTTTTTGCTGCACCGCTTAAATTATTTTCTCTTTTACATTTAAAGTAAGCAAGCTTTAAATTTTTTAATTTTAATTTCATCTGTTGAGCCGTTTTAAAAAAGCCTCTTTTTTTCATATCTTCAACTAGTGAATTGAAAATATCTATATGTTTATGTTTTTTTCCGTCTATTAAAACAATAATTTGTTTTTCCAGACATAATTTCAAAAAAGTTCTCGTTTCATCTTCTCTCCAATTCATACCTTTTCGGCAAGACATTTTGATTAGAGAAACTGAAAAATAGGTTAGATAGGGTTATAACTTATAATTCTCTACAATACGTTTCATGCGTTTACATCGTCATTTGTATCACTTAATACGCGTCTTAGTTTAGTACGATATTCTTGTTTGATACGCTCTTACCAAGTTAATCCGATAGCATTTACATCGGGCGTATTGAACTATTTAGTACGAATTTGGTACGAACAGAGAGAAACCTGAGAGCGGCCATCCTATTGTAATTTTTTACGACGGTTTCAACCGCTGGTTTTAGCCGTATTTCCACAAAAGTGGAACTCAAAGGCCGTTTTACATTAAACGCAAGTATCAGATCTCGTGGAATTGA